CGCTCAGGCTGCTTTGGCCTGTCCGTTGTCGCGCCAGCATGACCCAGCGGACCGCTCCGTCACTGTGCCACTATCAAGTTTGAAGACTACTCAAGGACACGTCAGCGGCATCACCTTCCTCGCCGACAACGAGGACGACGGCAGAAACAAGCGCCTCGTCTTTGACGAAAGCACAAGATCGGCATCGACATCAACCGTGGCCTACGAAGCTACAAAAGGGCTGTCTGAACGGTTCGCCATCAGAGGGCAAGGCAGCACTCATGTGTGCACTATGTCTAATCCTCTGATCTTCTTCACGCAGCTCCTAATCGCTCAGGCTGCTTTGGCCTGTCCGTTGTCGCGCCAGCATGACCCAGCGGACCGCTCCGTCACTGTGCCACTATCAAGTTTGAAGACTACTCAAGGACACGTCAGCGGCATCACCTTCCTCGCCGACAACGAGGACGACGGCAGAAACAAGCGCCTCGTCTTTGACGAAAGCACAAGATCGGCATCGACATCAACCGTGGCCTACGAAGCTACAAAAGGGCTGTCTGAACGGTTCGCCATCAGAGGGCAAGGCAGCACTCATGTGTGCACTATGTCTAATCCTCTGATCTTCTTCACGCAGGTGAGTAATTGTCACTCATTGCATTGTAAACGATCAAGCAATACTTTCCTTTTCCTGCTGCCTTGCCCCCGGATGTGCTTAACCTTATTTATTGAGTGCATTTGTGTCACTCGTGATTTATTGTTAAGCGGTGACATTGAATCGAATCCGGGACCTGATGACTGCCAAGGGGGTGGTAACCCTACAATGGAAGAGATGGTGAAGGCGATTCTGGACACACAAAACGTGATTATGAGAGATCTAAGTCAAATAAAAAATAACCAAAAGCAATTTGAACACAAATTTGAAGGTCTAACAAAACAAGTAAATCAAATTGAAGCAACAGTTCAAGAAATGAAAGAACAAAAAGTTCAAATCATAAGCATTGAAAAACATGTTAAGGCAATCGATGAGGACTTGAAGGAATGCCAAAAAAAATCGTCGACTTAGAAGATCGGAACCGCCGTAACAACCTCATGGTTTTTGGCCTCCCAGAGGCTCAAGGGGAAACAAATGACTCATTGCGGTCGAAAGTACTTGGTGATGTGTTTGAAGAAAAACTTGGAATTCATGTTAATACAGTCGAGCGTGTACATCGCGTGGGGCGAAAAACAAACAAAAACCGCCCAGTTGTAGTTAAATTTCTTGACTACGCAGAAAAGGAAAACGTGCTAAAAAAGCGAAGGTGTTTGAAATGGACTAAAATAACGTTAGAACACGATTATTCTTGGCAGACTATTCAAAAGCGCAAACAGTTGTGGGAAACCAGTAAACCCAATCGCGATAACGGGGAAACTGTCTTCTTGATTCACGATAAAATTAAGATAGGAGGCCAAGTTTTCGAATGGGATGATAATGTGGGGCAAATATGCAAAGAAAGAAATCGACCAACTCGACAAAAAAGTGTAAAATGACGTCAAGCACACTCCGGGAAACCCCATCGAAAGACATTTCGACTTCTTTCCTTCAATGCGCAAAGTATTGTGAATAAAGTAGATGATTTGGAAACAATCTTGCTAACTCATGACCCCCACGTGATCGTCATCACGGAAACATGGCTTCACAGTGGTATTGGTGATAATGAAGTTATTCCGCCTTGTTACAGAATGATTAGGAAAGACCGAGGGTTAAGGGGCGGCGGCGTGGCTATTATCGCAAAAAGTTCGGTGGACCTGGTACCTTTAGATTGCGTTGTCAACGGGGAGGTGTTATGGTGTAAGGTTAAAGTTCACGGCAACGTGTTTGTTGTTGGTGCTGTATATAGGCCACCAAACACCGCCCCGAGGTTTTTAGAAGAATTGTATGATTACATGGCGTTGCGCTTCAATGACAAAACTAAAATTATTTTGACTGGAGACTTCAATCTTGCTGATATTGATTGGGCAAAGCAAAAACCAGGTAAAAATGAAATCGCGTCCTCCGAGCTTTTGTTAGATATAGCACTCAGTTTTAATCTTCAACAGTTAGTGGACAGCCCGACAAGAGTAACAGATACGAGCCAATCGATTCTGGACTTACTTTTTGTTAGCAACATAGTGGAAGCGGATAAAGCACATGTGCTCGACGGAGTGTCAGATCATAAAATGGTGTTTCTTGACTTAGAACTACATAAAACAGCTGCCGATAATGCTCGTCACGAACGTACTGTCAGAGATTTTCAAAATGCTGATGATGTGTCCATCCTCGATTATTTAGATGAACATTTTGACCATTTTAGTCAGTTAAGTGATGTTACCGAATTATGGAAAACATTTAAGAGTATTGTTTCCTACTGTACATATCACTTTGTTCCGACAAGGGGCGTGAGAGCACAACGACATCACCCATGGGTAACAAGAGAAATTTTGCAAATAAAGCGAAAGATCAAGCGCAAAAGGAAAGCAAAACAAAATTCCTCAGACATTGCAAATTTGGGGCGACAATTGAAGAATCTTATTTCCCAAGCTAGGGAAAATTACTGTGGCAATGTGCTCTCTCGTTTCTTGCTGGAATCTCCGCAAAAATTCTGGCGGTTTTTCTCGTCGAAAAAAGAAGTAATAACAGAAGTGATGGTAAGCGATGAGGTTGTATCATGTCCCATTAAAGTGGCAGAGGAATTTAACACGTATTTTCAGTCAGTCTTTACAGTCTCGAGTGACCCGCCGGTAGACCACGTCAGCAGCTCTGATGAACCTTGTATGTCAGATTTGGTTGTCTCGGAAAGTGGTATACTTAATTTGCTTTTGAATATTGATGTAAAAAAGGCGTCGGGGCCAGACGACATTTCAAATGCATTTCTGAAAAGATATGCTGAGTGGGTGTCCCGATATCTTTTCATAATATTTCAAGCCTCTCTCCAACAATCCAAATTGCCAGCAGACTGGTTGTGTGGTAAAATTATACCCATTCACAAATCTGGAAACAAAATGACAGTCCAAAATTACCGTCCTATATCATTAACGTCGACTTGCTGCAAACTGCTGGAACACATTATTTCAAATCATGTCACTCAGTACTTAGAAGAAAACAACTTAATATACAAACATCAGCACGGTTTTAGACGGGGTCTATCGACGGTCACACAATTAATTGAGTGTGCGCATGAGTTCTCATCTGTTGTAAATGAGCGGGGTCAGGTTGACGTCGTGTTCATGGATTTTTCAAAAGCGTTCGACCGCGTGCCTCATAACAAATTAATTGAAAAGCTTCACCTTGTGGGTCTCAACAGCAATATAGTGTCGTGGGTCCGGTCTTACCTAACTAACAGAACACAGTATGTCTACTGCAATGATGCATGCTCTACCCGCCTTGCAGTGTTTTCAGGTGTGCCACAAGGGTCGGTATTAGGTCCACTTTTGTTTTTACTGTATATAAATGATATTGCAGATGATATGCCGCCAGCTGTCCAGGTAAAGCTATTTGCGGATGACTGCATGTTGTTTTCAAAAGTGCGTACAGTCGAAGACCAAGACTTGCTTAATGCCTCTCTAGAAAAACTTTACTTGTGGTGTGAAAGGTGGGGTATGGTAATTAACTTTGATAAAACAGTATTCTGCAGCATTACAAACAAACGAAACATTTTAGAATATTCCTATAACATAGGTGGCGTGCAACTGCGAAAGGTGGACGAATTTAAATATTTAGGTGTTATTTTTAGTTCTACCATGCGATGGAACAGTCATGTAGATTACGTTTGTTCAAAGGCCTACAAAAAGTTATTATTCCTCAGAAGACAACTTAGGCATGCCAATAGTGATGTTCGACAACTTGCGTACATGTGTTATGTTCGCCCATTGTTAGAATATGCATGCACTGTATGGGACCCGTATAGAAAATGCCACGCATCACAAATTGAAAGAATACAAAATCTGGCTCTTCGATTTATCTTCTCCAGATATAAACGTACAGAATCTGTTTCTTCAATGAGACAAGAGGCGCAGCTTGACTCGCTGGCAAAGCGACGGAAAATATCAAGGTTAAAAGAACTCTTTTCCATAACGACTGGAATGACAAAGCTAGATCCGCAGCTTTACTTGCGGCCTTCAACGTCTCGTTCCCAAAGGACTAGCAACGTCAGGGCGATTGCTCCGTATCAATACAAAAATGATGTATTTAAGTATTCTTTCTTTTGTAGGACAATAGTAGAGTGGAACGCTCTGCCAAACGAAGTCGTCAGCTGCTCTAATCTCAAGTCTTTTGAATTATCATTGCGCGAATTTTTAACTGAATAATGTATGTGTGCGGAATACATCTTCAGATGTGCAGGGTGTGACGCACCACTGCATGTGCATAAGTGCTCACTTGAGTGTGAATGCATTTTGCTTGGCTTGTACAACTTATTTTTCTCTCCTGTGTTGACCGTAAGGTTCACAGTATTGTAAATAAAATAAATAATAAAAATAAATAAACTCTGGGGTTTCAGTGATTACAACACGCTTTATCCTACACTATTAATTTGGTTCCACATAGGTTCTAGTTAAATTAACGTTCCACATATTCTTTCTGAAACAAGTACAATATTTGTGCGGATCGGGGGTAAATGTAAAACTCCAGTTCTGGTCGTTTTTTTTTTTTTTTTTTTTTTTAACTGAAACATGTACGCGCTTTATGGATTTGTCGTTCCAATTACATGCAGTTCCACTTACATTCTTCCACTTAAGTGCCAATTTTCTCCGGGTAAAACTTCCAGAAAGTGCTATTCTTACCATTATTGTTTACGATTATGAAATATGTGAAACGCTGCTGTCTATAAGCTACGAAGTATTTATATTTATCTGATGCACTGCCCCCCGCAAACCCCGAACTATACAGAACCCGGTTCCTCCTGATTAAACAAAGCTTTAATAAAAAAAAAAAGTTGCGGTTCTAACAAGAACCTAAGTGTACCGAGATTTAGAGTGCACGCACGTGCAAAAGGGGAGAGCTTACTCACCAGGGGGTCTGACCTCAGCTTGCGCATGTGCGGAATGCTGCGCTTGGTGCGGGAGCGGGGCACGGCGCGGTGCACGAAGTGGTACTCATTTCTGGAACCCAACACCTGGAACAAGCAAAAAAAAAAAAGTCAGACATACATTTTTTTTTTAAATCACAGGAAAGTATACACTTGAGTTTTGATTGCAACATACCGCTCATGTTGCTCAGACTTGTATGGCACTCATTACAAGGAATCAAATTACCTGTAATCGATTACTTTCTGCAGTCACTTTGTAATCATCTGAAGAGATTAATTAGAAAGTCATCACAAGAATAATTTCCTAACTTTTGAAAGTACTAAGATTACTTGTAACCATTACTATTTTCTCTCCCCTTTCTATTGGCCTTATGTGTTTGTACAAGTTTCCTCCCAACGAATCGTAGAATAGACTCCGCCAGAAGAATGGTTTATAAAAATAAAATGGTGCATTAAGGAGATTAGCAGTTTATAAGTTGGTGATTCTAATTCAAGAATAGACAGTTCGAAAGGCTCACTTTTAAACGGGCAGAAATATTTTGTTGATTTGAAAGTCTGAAATGATAGGAAAAGTATTGCGGTTAAGTTTCTCAAGTAACGGCCAATCACTTTTCATCTCAAATAATCAAGTGGTGTAATTGGATACATTTTTAAACGGGAGTAATTGTGCGTGTGATCAATTCCCATTTTAGAGCAACGTAATAAAAACTGGTTGCAGCATGTTGCTGGTGTCAGTGACAGTCTAAGAAAGTTAAACAAATAAAACAGCGCAAAAAAAAAAGGACAAGGAGCAAACAGGGCAAACGCTAACTTTTATCTAGTTCGACTCAGGAAAAGCAAAGCATATATATGCACACCACACGCGAAGCAACAACCCATAAAAGCTGTCAAGTCAGTATTGGATCATGCAAAAACTGGAAATGCATTCCCATGGAGTACGATTGACGTGTCGCTGACACATGCCATCCCCTTTTTTTTTTTCTTATCAAGAGTGCCTCCAAAAGTTCGCGAGCGACAGTCTCAGGTCTTCTCCCCAGAATCTTTATTTGCTGAAGTCTCGGAACACAGCCGCACGTGTTGGATTGCGTAGGCAAATGCGAGCCATATTTATTTTTTACTGATTATCCCCTATGATATGTCCCTCTGGCCGTATAACTCTCCTTCGCAAACGGCATTAGTGTAGCTTTCGCGACTTTTTTTTAAACAGATCTGTTAAGCTTAAAAACACACCCTAGTTGGCATGTCAAAAATGCCAAAGCATAATAACGCTGCAGTTACAGTATCAAGTTTAGCTAGTTGGTACATGTCAGGTATAAGTGTGTCCTTTAAGTTCTAGCTGACACTTTTACCTGATAATAAAGAAAATGTAGAACAGTGCTTGGCCTCTTTGTTTCTTCTGGGTGTCAAACCGATTCAGTTCAATGCTTATTTCATAGATTAGAAAATTTGATTCTATAATTTGGTATTGGCTGCCTAACAATAAAGGATGAAAAAACAAATTTATGATATATGGGCTCCAATCATAGATGGCTCGGTTCCTGGCCCTGCTGCACCCAAACTACTGTATGGAGGACGTTCAAAACCGAAAGCAAGCATGCACTCGCACGTTCTTGGCTCAATTTTTCATCCACAGCGTGTACTTGTCTCTCTATACTTCCAAAGCAAACCTACCGCGCGCTGTATAGAAATTCAACTGCTAATTTGCTTTTTGTGTACTGAGCAGTAGTACAAGCTCGCTGTCTGCGTTCGCACGACAGCTCTAGGCAGTCATTTTGGCATGTACGCGTACACTCCATTAGCAACACGCTACTCGGGGGGAGGGGAGGGGGGGGGGGGGTCTACAGTTTATGACTGCGGCGACGTCACGAACAGGGTGTGTTTTAATGCTTTTCATCCTGCTGGTTTATGCACAGTGGAGAACGCCCAAGTAACCGCTTCTGCGATTGCACGCCAAAAATTAGTTCACGCACACGGTTCCATTAGGCGAGTTTATGGGAGTCGAGACGTCCGGGCCGTTAAGCACGGGGTTAAAACCGCCAGAATCCGTGCAGTAAAACTGGTCGAAAAGCAGTAAACTAAAGCTCTCGCGAGTCTCCCTCCAAATGTAGCGTGAAATGGGAAAGCAGCAGTAAACCACTACACGGTTTAATGACATTATAATAGTACATGAGCTTTCAGGCTCGCCACTCTACTTTCGGTAGTTTCATTGCTTGTAGACCTTTCGACAATTTATAGAGGTTCATATTTCGTACACGTTTTGTTATATTCCTGCAATATCCAACCTTTTCCTCCGAATTTGACATTAGCAATTTTGTATTTTAACGAAAATTGTTAAGCCGTGGTATTGACGTTCAAATTGAAGTCTCCAACTACACTCGATTTCATTTCTTTTAATGTATCGGAGGGGAAAAAAAGATGGGAGTCATGTGAACGAGAGACACCTTTTGAATCAATCATAGTACTGCCCTGCAAAAAACAACAACAATAACAAAGAAAACAACATGCGCAGTATTAGAAAGAGAAATTGATCAAAGCTTGAGCAAACGGTCACCATGAACGAACCTCCGACTCAGAAGCGCCTGAAATCGATCAGCTTATAGGGTTCCTATAATGCCCCAACTTCGATCCAACACGTTTTGCTGAAGGTCTCCGGCGACTGAGAGATCCAAAACTCGGTCCGAGGCTTAAGCCTTCGTCTCGCCCGATTGCGAGCGTATCTGTGCATGCTATTTTTGACCACAGAGCTCGCAATCAGTTCCTCGACGCGTCAGCTACGCGTGTTCTGATTAAACTAAAGTTTTCTTTGTTTTGTTTTTATTAATTAAAGACCCGCGGATAATCCCCCTTTTAACGAGAGTCAGAGTGAGAATATATTAGGTTTGTTTGGAGAGCTAGCTCTTTCGGTCTTAAAAAGATATTCCTTTGTCTGAAACTTGCAGTGCAAGATCGCATAAGTTCTACTCACGAACCGTAATTGCTCGCGTAAAACTCGGTTCTTAACTCCCAGTTTGAGGCAAACTTTGGTCACAGGATATTCGCTGAACATTCACAGAATATTTAAACGAAGTCCAGCGTCCCGTTGACGAACTTGCATTCGCTTATGAAGGAGTACTTCTGATCTCTGACGACGAGAGTGTACACCGGAACGCTGGCGCCATATACACTAAAAAAAAAAATACTTGCGCATCTACTTACCCGCAAAACACTCAAAGAGCCAATCTCTGCGATGTACGAAATCACATCAGCGAATGATGAGGCGGAACATCCGTTTAGACCTTAAGTCTGCTTTGTGGCATTACGCAATGCAAGCATGACGCTTCGCATTGCGTAATGCCACAGCGCAGACTTTATTTTTAGGTCTAAACGGATGTTCCGCGTCAAGGATCGCTGAGCTGATTTCGTAGATTGCAGAGATTGGCTCTTTGAGTGTTTTGCGGGTAAGTAGACGCACAGGCATTTCTTAGAGTGTACGTGATGACCCTGGAACTACGTTTCACAAGAGCGAATGTTTTTACAGTATTTGCGAGGTCCAATGTGCGAACTGTCATTGAGGAATGGTCGTTTATAACATCATGAAAACATTTTCCAGCCATACAGAAAATAATGACGCGAGAAAAAATAAAAGTGTACGAAAGCTGGAAGTGTTTCATGGATACCAGATAGAAGGCGCCTGTGTGTTCATTGGTCTTAGGAAATTTCAAGAGGTTTTAAGGCACACGCTCGTAAGAGGTCGCAAGTGTGTGGGCCTCATGGAAAACATATATGTATGCACTACGTGCCTTCGAGCGATCAGACAGTCTCGACGAGCGCTCACGCCTATAGCCTAACTAATTGTCACGATTTAGGCCTAGTGTGCTTCAGAACTAAAGACGCAGGATGCGATCGGCGTCACGTCGCGGCGATCCGGTAGCCGACGCGTTAGTGCAAAAAATGTGGAATGGATCTAGTTTTCATTCGACGAACGATGGTATGGCCTAATGCTTTGATGACACTGGTGGTGCGATAGGGCGGTGGGCTGGTTACTGCCCCCAAAGTGCAAAACCATGGTGGGAGATGGTGCTGTCATTAAAGTAGTGCTGGCGCCATCTGGTTATTGCTGGATGCCTATACTCGCGTTTGAACCGAACTGTAAGACGGAAGATATAGAAGGTGAAATAACAGTATGATTCTTCTTTCTCTTATGCTGTCACAAACTTGTGACGATTTCGAAAATTGTCTGTCAGGCGCCCTGTGCCGCAGAAGGATATTGGCCGTTTTAAATTTTTTTTTAAACATTGACTTAAGAAGTGAAAGCCGTTTACTTCTCCCTGTAACGCCGAATTAGAGCGCAGCTCTTGAGGAGGGGGAAGGAAGGGTACTGAGGGGAATGTATATCTTCGTCCCTTCCTCCTCCCCTCATCCTTTTATCTCCTCCCCGTCCTTCTCCTTCACCTCCACCTCCTGCCCTCATTCTTCAACCTCCTTCCCTCGTCTCCTCCGCCTCTTCCCTCCTTCCTCTCCTAATTATTTAATTAATTAATTAATTTTGGCAGACAACTACCGCGTCGGGCTACTGCGCGAAAGGTAGGGGGGGGGGGGGTCACGTGACCACACCCCCTCCCCGAGGTCACCGAAGGTACCCGAGGTCCTCCTGAAGGAACCCGAGGTCTTCCCGAGGTCCTCTCAAAGGAACCCGAGGTCCTCCCGAGGTCCTCGGGGGGGGGGGGCTCGCAGTTACGCCGACGGTGACGGCGACGGCGACGCCGACGCCGACGCCACTCAAGTCGTAAACGGGCGCCTAAGAGCTGTGCTCTAAAAAAAAAAAAAACACTTCTCGACTTAAGCTGAAGACGCAGCCAACGCTGCGAGCTGATGGAACCAATCAAACAGCGTCAAAAGTGCACCATCATGGTGTTCGTCACGTTTCTGTACGTCTTCTATCGTCGCCGAACCAATCAATAATAGAAAATGCCTTGTGACTTGCACTTTTGGCGCTGCTTGATCGGTTCCATTACCTCGTAACGTGGGCTGCATCTGGACTTAATGCGGAATGCAAGTTCGTCTGCTTCTTTTGCAGGGACTGTGGTGACGTCAGAAAGACGCCAAGC